TTTTTTTTCTGAAACGGCTCCAGCCTGCGCGTGTTTGATGAGAGTGGCAGGGTGCCGCTGCCGAATCACAGCAAAGGAAAGGAGAACAGCATGAACAGAGAGTAAACAGCACCGAGGAGCTGTGTATGTGTGTGTGTGTGGCCATATGTGTGAGTGAGTCCAGACAAGGCTGCGTCATTAGTTTCAGGGCTCCTAATGAGAGAACACGCATGGCCTTGAGGCCTATTGTTTACAATGTCCTTCAAAAGCACAACGTACACACACAGTCTCAGCCGAGTTTGCTCACCTTGCCAAGCAAACATTTAGGGGGAAAAAAACAAAGCCACAAAATGATACACTAAGTTCTCAAAGGATGGCACACAAGCTCACTGTATGCAAACACACAGAACCCACTCCTGCTGTTTGAGCAGCGGAGACAGTGTTTTATAGCCTAGATACTGATGGTGAGAGGCCCTGTGGTCAGACTGGAGAAATCAGCACTTAACTGATATGGTCTGAGTTCAGCCTGTGTTCTTTAATCCCCCTGTGGCAAGATTTCTCTGTCATCCCAAATAACAAAATCCAAGCATGCCCTGCAGGAGAAGTGGTAAAGGACATTGCCCATATCCTACATTTTTATATTTTATTTACTTATAAATCGGTCTGAGTACCAAAAACAATTAATTGTTACATGACCATTTTCAAACCTCTCTTTATCCCCTAGAATTGCTGCACCTTTAAAACTGATCTATGTAAATGATCTCTATTCTGATTGGCTGCCCTTTTTGTTCCTCATTCAAAAAGCAGCTCAAGTTTAAGCACACCTTAAAAATTAGCATGAATGTGCCGGGCTCTATAGCTGTGGGCTGAATAGGCAGTTATATGTAAATGATTTCATGACAATAAAAATAGAAATGTAAAAAGAAGGAATAATTCAGCTGCTTTGCAGCTTAGTCCAAAGAAAAACAGGTATCTCCAAAATAGTAACTTTACAGGAAAGGGCAAAAACGTTTTTTTACTTTTAATGTAAGTTAATGGAAGAAGATTTTATTCTAAGCAATTTTGGAGCATTTCTATTGGCCCAATCATCATGAAATTTTCACATAATGTAAAGGACATCTGCTGAGCTTAAATGATGCAGAAAAGTAAAAATCACAAAAAAATGGAGATACGTTTTTCATGAGACAGCGACAATAGATGAGGAGTGAATGGTACATGTTGAAACTTTAACACTATGTTTACATACTACATCAAAATTTTGTTTTCCATGTTATGGGCCCTTTAACATATAAATTATAAATAAGGATTATCAGGACTGATCAGCTTCAATAGTTCAGTAATAAAGGCCAGAATGCCTTTTCAAAGGCGTACCAATGCATATCAGTCTGTTTATGTGTCTATGTGCATGTGATTCTTCTTCTGGATATGTTTTTATCTGCACTTTAATGTGTAATCATTTTTTAATGTGTTCCACATCACTAGTCATTACTTCTTAGCCGTTTTCATGTGTTGCTTTAAACTACGCAAAAGCAAGAGGCAAAAAAGACATCTGTATAAGATAGGAAGGGATTTGTATAAATAGCAATCCATCATAACAAAAGGGGGATTATGTTGCTTCCATTCATGAAGGATTACAAGAAAATGTGGCCAATGTAACTTGAGAGGTTTTATCTAACTATTAAGCTGTAGTCAGAAACGGTCTGAGTATTACTTAAAAAATAGTTTTTATGAACAGACATAAAGCATCTCAGATTCAAGGCAACACTCAAGCACATCCGGTCTTACCAAAAAAAAAAACTGTTATAAACAGACCCAAAAAGTGTTAGATTGCAGGCAACTCTCTCACACGCACTGCACTTATTGCCATCTAATCAAGTGCTGGCCTTGCCTACACAACCCACTGTCAACACCTTGCCTTGCTCTTTAAGACACCCACAGTCTTTAAATGCTAATGAGGAATTGGAGAGAGGTGTATACACTAAGCTGAAAAGACTTGCAGCTGTAATCTAACCATTAACGTCAAAACTGCACCAAGAGGCTGAGGTTTTGAGAGCTCTCCTTCTCTCTCTCTTTCTCTCTTTCTCTCTCTCTCTCTTTCTACATCTGGGGTTTCCCGTTACGATGGCGTCTTTGGGGTCACCACAACAACAACTGGAACTAATGCGAGGTGGCCATTAAGCTGTCCTCAACTGGCAGCCAGGGCCATGGGCCCGACAGATTGATGCTGGCGCTTTGTGTTTAGGCCCCATTCATCCCTTTGCAGGCTGAGCAAGATCTTGACAGGGTTCAACCCAGACTTCCAGTCAGCTCTTTAAGACTGGCCTTATGTGCTTTTTCCATAGTTAGAATACCACAGATATGGACAGATATCACAATACGGACAAAATACTAGTATTACGACTATATTGCTACATACTGTGACTGTGTTGCACTTTGCAATGTACTCAAAAACAGTTATGTGACAGAGTTAAAGACTGTCCTGCATCGCTGTGGCCAAAACTATAGACATTCGATGGATTTTGTGTATACATTGAGTCATCAGACACCTACCAAATACTCATTTAGAACACTGATTGATTAAGATGCTCACAGTATACATTAAACTGCATTTTGAGTGGTTAGAAGGCTTATTTGTATATTGCAGCTTTCTGCCATCTCAGTTTTGCATAGACCAATATTGCGACAATGATTAACACATAATATACTGTGAAACTCTACGCTTTCCACTCTTTTGATCTTACAATTTTATTGGTTGGACCTGACCAATCCACATTTGATACTTATTATGAGTCTTATTGTGATGGTCATTATAAAATTGCAACAGTGACCTTTATGAACATTTAAAAACTGGTATCGGATAAGTACTTGATATTGGCCGATACCCAGAGCTCAGATATTGGAATCAGTATTAGCAGAGAAAAATTAGTGGATCAGTGCATGCCTAGTTGAAATTTAAGCCAAATTTAAGCATCTTGTCAGAATTATGTAGAGCTATATACTATTATCAAAACTTAATAATCACTTAATAATACTGAAATATTGGAATAATCCAAGTTTAGAAGTTGCTAATAATACTTTAAACATCTGAGGTGGTGCTGACACCTAAGAATGCTTTATCAATGCTCTTCTTGAAAAGAGTACAATGCTCTGAAGCTTCTATTGTCTCGTAGCAAGGATCAGATAGCAGAGCAAGAACGTGTGGAGGCTGCAAACAGAGACATCAGAGCACACTCAGTTGGAGATGCTACATTTTATCTGCCTCAGCACTGACAAGCCCTTAACAGTGCATTGTTTACATAGACAAGACACGGAGGAAGTCTTGTGTGAGGGTGTGAGCAGGACAACCTATTGAGTCATTCCCATGACATGCATACAGGCATTTTTCATTACTGATCAGTGGCAGTGTTATAGGAAGTGGGAAGCATGGAAAAAACATGGATAAGATCTTAAAACATCTTTGAAAATGCTCATACTGACACTGAGGAGGAGCATTCTCTTCAAATTGCATGAAGCCACTGGCATATTAAAAGCCCTTTTCTGCATTGTCTGCATTGTGTTAATACTGTAGCTTAAGCTCAACTAAAAAACAAGATGTGGTGTGGAGTCACGGACACACCAGAAAGGTGCATCTGGTCTGTGGTGTATCATTACTGGCTGAGTCAAAGAGCTTCTCCAAGCTTTGCTCTAGTTAAATGCATGTTCAGGGACAATCACAGCAGAAGTGACAGCTGTTTTGGGGCTATTTTCAAATGACTTCAAAAGGAACTGAGTTAGCTCATGTTTTCCTCCAGTTACAAACACACACACACACGCACACAAACACAACAATGCCCAGGAGAAAAAACGATGACTATGACAAAGTTGAGCCCTTTGGGTGTAACACTAGCCTCTCTTTCTCTGAGCAGCGTTATCAGGTGTGAAAAGGTGAGAGCAGATAGCCAGCAGCCACTCCACACATGCCAATGGTGGATTAAAACTGCTTTCAAAGGCCTAAAAATAAATGGTTCTTGGCCTAAATGTATAGTTCTAGAAGGGGTATGAAATCTTTACACTATGTGGGTATGTTTAACACACTCACACATCTCCATTACAAAAAAGGTTCTTTAAGGAACCATCAATTGAAAGGTTCCTTGGGGAACCCACAGGCTCATCCTTCTATGGCATTGCTCTAAAGAATAAGAAGTCTTGACAAGCTCAATCTGGATTCATTCAGTGTGTCTGTCAAACAACAAGCTTGTAAAAGGACAGAACTGAGGAAGGCTCATAAAGCGCACTGGTCGTTTTCCACAGCAGTGAAGTATTAGCTTGAAATGTCATTTCCCCGTTTGGTACCTCTAAAGCCTCCTGATTCACTGCGAGATTGTGCTGGCTGTTAGATCAGGGGCAGGTCTGGCAGACAATGTTTACTACCTCATAAAAACAAGCTACTGCCAAGCAGCAAAGCCAGTGATACAGCTGACCTGGAAATAATAAAAGCTAATTATGTGCCAGTCAAAGACATTCAGGAGAGAGAAAATTGAAGTCTTAAGAGAAATAACTCATTACTGGCAATATGAAATGATGACTGTGTGTTGAGGGTGTTTGTATGAATCAGTTACGAATGCTGTAACTTAAAGATTTTCCTTACAATGTATTCGTAAAGAGAGATGTTTAGCCAGCCAGTTCTTTCTTTATAATAGTAAAAGCAAGATATTAACCTACGTTGGTAGTTCCATAGAAATAATGTAGAATTATTAACAAATGCAGCAACAGCAAAATATATCCGGCCAATTAAAACAGATTAATATTGGTATTATAGAACAACCTAGACACGCTTCTTTGTTTTACAATCAGAAAAACGATGTGAGCTCCGGGTCTAAACTTTAAGATTAATCAAACTAACCCTACTAAACCTGCTCAGCCACCCTGCACGGGTCTTCAGCTTCATACTGTTCACAGCGCTTAAAGGCACACATTGACTGAACAGAGACCCCCCCGGAGGACCCTCCACGAAACCCCTCGTAGTTTCTCCTCCAACTTACCATGAGCCAAGCAGATGAGCGAACATATAATCGGTAAGGCATGAAAAGTCCGGAAAAACTCCATCACCCTTTGGAGCAGCCTCGAGTTTGGGGTTTAGATGTCTGTAAACGGACAGTCCGCGTCTGCTTTAAACATCCAACATGCGTTAAAATCCAGCTGAGCGTCAGAGGAGGAGGACTGGACTGGACTGCACTGGGCTGGGGCAGCGACTCCCACACAGTCACATTGAAGAAGACAAAAACAAACTCATTCCAGCAGGCATAGCAGGTTTTCTCACAGTTTAAGCGGCAGCCTCGCACCTCTTCGCTCACACATCCTTCACCCGGGTCCGTTTGGTACGGCGAGGATCCCACAGAGAGCTTATAACGGGTCAGGCAGCCTCGGGCTGCCGAAAACAACACCAGCCCGTTAAATCTCCCGCACAGCTTTTCACTACAGCGAGGAGTTACGCGTTTCTCAAAAATATGCCGCCTTTCTTTCACGTTTATTTCTCCTCCGTGAAGAAAATGACTGTTTCTTTTCGGCCGTTACTTCTCGCGCTAGGCTTCCAGCCCTCGCGACCGTTCTGAATGAACGGCACTTACAACTCGCGCGCACGGCAACCGTCTCGTGGCGGCTCGAGCCCTCCCCCTAGCTACCGGCCTTGGTTACCAACCGCGTCTTAAAGGCACAGGCGCCCAAAGCGCTCTTCACAGTGTGGCCTGTTTCCGTTTTGTGGATGGACTGTTTTTCTGAAAAGCTGTTTTCGCTCTAATCAGAATGTAGAAGTTAAAATGTCATTAGTACAAGTAAAAACGTTACATTTGACATTAAATTTGATCATTTTACATTTACATTTTACAGTACCAATTTGTGTTTTTTTCCCGATTAAGTTCAATGGAAGGAACGATTTTTAATAGTATGAATTACATTTGTAAAACGTGTAAAATGTAAAAATAAAACTGTCCATTTTTACATGTAAGCATTAAGTTGACACATGTAACAATTCACTTTTCTGATGTAAAAAAAATTTCTAATATGAAGACACTTAAAATAGCTTGCCATATCACTGCTGTACCAAAAATGTAAAAAGTATCTCCATTTTTTTCCTTTTTTTTCTTTTTCTACACCATTTTAACATCACAGCTGGCAATTACATTGTGTGAAAATGACTTATAACAAAATCTCTTAGCTTACATTAACCTATTTAAAATTAAAAAATGTTAGCATTTTGGGTATATGTTTTTTTTCTGTTTTTATTTTTTTATTTTTTGGACAGCGACATGTTCTGTCCTCTGTTTTGTCCTCAAATTTGCTTTTCTTTTCTTACCTTTTACTTTTGTAAAGTGTATAGCTATAGGTCTATGATGAACACAGAAAAATAACGTAAAAAGGTTAATAAGATCTAAGATTGTCTATAATAAGATCTATGTTTAGCACAAAAATATGTGTAGCTTTCAACACTGCTGAGAATTCCAGACATTAGGAGAAACTATCAAAAGCACAGCAGTGGTTATTTTAATGTGACGTCAGGCTCTACGCAAATCAACAATCACGGACTGATTTGAGCACAAGCTGTACTGCTCTCTGATTTGATCAAAACTGAAAAGTAATATTACCAGTGCGTCAGGATGGTATGAGCCTCAGAAGATGAGAGGTGATACACAGGCCTGTCTGCCTGTCTGCAGGTAATAATGCTGGGTGATAGTAGCACTGCACGTGATTCTCACAAACAAGAGCAGTGAAGCCCAGAACAGGCATACGGTGTGCTTTATATTCACCACGTTTCACCACCTCAGTTATAGCCTGACTCAAAGATTCATCTGAAGAAAGGAATGAAAGACAGTGTTCTTTGTCAGGTTATATTATCTAATAAACGAGTAATTGCCATTCCTATTTATTATGCCGAGAAAAAATCACCCAGCCTCCATTAATTTATCAGTTATATTTATCTTCATTGCTTGCACAAAACACAATTTACTCATTTACATTCACATTAGAATGCAGTCATAGGCCCACAGGCCCTGCTTACAACCAGCGGACCCCGCTGCCAGCACCCTTGCTTTTGTCCTCATGTTTCATGCATGTGCCTGTTTAACTTAATTGCAAAAACTGATTAATTGAGGCTTGGTGTGTAATTGAATAAAACATGATGCTGTTTCCCTCTAAATACATTTCATCTCTCTTATGACTGATGCAGTGCACTCAGGAACCCATTAAGGATTTGCTGGACCTGTCAAAGGAAAGTGTGCAGTCAATGAATTTAGCGGCGTAATTGTGTTACATGGAGAGTTATGGCGACGTCACATCAGCAAGTGCAAATGATGCCATTAGGCCACAGGCACACTGGGCCGAGAGGGCAACGGCAGATGATTTCTTTGTCATTGCACAAATGGAATTTTAAAGCTTAATAAAGTATGATATGTTCACTCATTATAGCGATTAGTTAATCATTATATTAACTAGTTATGGTCATTTAATATGTTACCTAATGTAAAGTTGCTGTATTGGAATGTTGGAATACCTAATGTAAATTTGCTGTATTGGAAAATTGGAATTACACAATTATAAAATTTTCCACTTACCCCAGATATAGTCAATCAGCTAAGACATTTGGTTTGGTGTCCAAATCTGGTTTGGTTTGGTTTCTAAATCTGGCTTCTTTAGTTTAGCATGGGAGCTATGAGGCTAACATTCCTAACAAACACTAGAATTCAATAGTCACCCAAATGTTTTCCATAAATGCCTTCCCATAATTTGACTCTCGATTGCATCTAGGTCTTTATTAAGATTGTGCAGACTTGTCAGTGTGGTTAGTGCATAGTATTACTTATTGTGGACTATAGAAACGAAGAAAACTTTACCATGTTGCTAAACGCTATGGGTATCTACTTTAGACAACAGGTGTTGTGCCGAACAATTCTGACTCCCCTTCATGGGCATGCATGTCACACAGGCATACAGATTCTGGATTACATTCAGGGTTTCTGTTGTTATATTTATTAACATAGATCTTCAAGGTTTTTTTTTTGTTTTTTTTTTTTTCGTAAAAACAAATAACACATCACAAATGTAGTTTGTAGCATCCAAATGTCTCTCTAAATGTGTGACGAGGGTGCATGCAAAGGCTAGTCAGAATTCAGCACAACACCTGTTGTGTAAAATGGCTGGCAGTTGCATTCAGCTACACAATGTCGTATTGTTAATTTCTATAGTTCACCTTAAGTCACAGTTTGTGCTAAACCACATCAACAAATCACTGCAACCTTAATGAAGACCTGCATGCAGTTTGAGTTAGGTTCAGAGAAGTTTTGTGGATGCATTTTCAAAACTATTTGGGTAACTATTGGCTTATAGCATTTACTACTTACATTAGCCTCATAGCTCCAGTGCTAAACTAAAGAAGTAGAATTTGGACACCACCAAACATGTCTTGGCTGATTGACTACATCTGGGGTAAGTGGAAAACTGTGCACATTCGATTTTTCATCAAACTACTCTTTTAAAGTTTAGTGTTACATCTCTACAAAAGACTATGATGAATTCACATTCTTGTATTTAAATAATAGTGGAAATTGTGTTCAAATAAAAAAACAGCATCAGAATAATTCAATTTTCAAGGTAAATTCATTAAAGACATGCTCATCATATGTTAAAAAAAAATCCTTTTCATATAGCTCAAGAATTTTCAGCTTCAAAGTCTACCAAGCAATAATATTACATAGTTTAGGCCTGTGTTTTCAAATGCAGCAGCAACTGCCCTTTATAAGAAGCATTTGCTCTCTTCTGTCCTCTCCTGAATTAGAGAAGATAAATCGCTACAAAATTTCCCAGATAAGCCTGACTGGGAATAAGATTCAGATTAAAGCTACAGGTCAGCACTATATCCGTGTAAATGGATCAATAGCGACAGTGCACACAGAAAGATGCTACAGCACTATATCTAATTAATCCATTGAATGTAGAATGGCTTAACACAGTGCCAGAGAAACATGATTTATGACCCTGATTACTTCCAGCATGTCAGCCTGACAACTTACACTGGACATTGTCCAAGCAAATCTGACACCACAATCCTTTAATGTAAGGCTAACTGTTTTGAGGATGTCTTTTATCCAAGGAGACATTCGTGCATAAAACACTTGCTGGTTAGTTTTTAGGCATACATTACACATTCATAAAGACTCATTTATAAAGACTCGTTTTATGTCCTCTGTTCTTCCCAAGCCTAGATAGTACGCCAATATGATTTGTACATATATCATGCATGTAGCTTTAGTATCTGAACATTAAACTGACGTGTCCTATTATCCAGTGCCAAAGAACACATGCATGTAAGTGTCTTTGAGCTGAATTCTAATGCAACAGGCAATATTGAGGAAAAGCGATTGCAAGTGTAACAGATGAGAGGCCATTTTGATGATGCACCACATTTTGATGACAAGCAATTTGGTTGATTATGAAAGCATTATCAGCAGTTGGCCGACCACCACAACAGCTCACCATTCAAATCAAGGGGTGCAGATCACAGAAAAATTACTGCAGAGAGCTTTTTTGTGCTTTAAGAACTAAAAACTAAAATAGAAAAAATAAAACAGATGTAGATCCTATGCCATCAATCCAAATACCCCTTTCCGGTACCTTTATTTTTTGGAATAGGAATTGTTAGATGCAATAATTTGTCTTTAATATAAGCAAATAGAGTGTTTAATACAGTTAAGTGTATCTACCCCAAACATCAAAACATCAGGCAACATCTACCCTGACTACTACTTGTGTCCTCTAAAGATGTGCATGGATTATTTTATAGATTAATTGATTACGAGGGTGCTGGTGAAAATTGCAATATATCTCCTCATTGATTCGCCTCTGAATGTGATTGGCTACTATCATCACCTCAGGAGAAATGGGCTCACATTTGGATGCTCAATATCCTGTTGCCTTCCATTAGATTGATATGGCTCTTTCTCTCTTTCTCTCTCACACATAAACACAAGCTCTCTGCCCCCTCTGGTCATTGTCTCTGACGGCTCACTGTTTGAGGCCCCCTTAATTGTAGCTCTGCGAAGCGAAAAGGTCCCTCTGTTCGCCCGTTTCCCTCTGAAAGGGCCCGAAATTGATGCAGAACAGAGGGTTATGCCCGGGCTGTCCCATGTGAACCAACCTTGAAGATCTTGCAGGAAAACCAGAATTAACCTCTCACACGTTGGACGTTATCACGATTTATGGAGACAAGCCATCTCAGTGGCTAATTATCTAACAAAACCACCTTCACTGTTGGCACACAAGCAGTGCCAGTGCTTCCCTACACACAAGCCTTTCAAAAGTGGCTGCTAATTAGATGGCAGAGAGGTATGGTGCTTTTGGAACTGACGCTTATTAGTGATTACTCAGACCAAGTCCAAACTGCTAGCTTTCCCTCATGTCTAAACGTCCAAAGTTTCAATGCAGCTCTCATTCCTGGAGAAAGACCTGCACGAGTTAGCTTGTAATTTAGCTCTGAGTGTGTGTGGGAAGGTTGCTAACAACACACACGTTCTTCTTCCCTTTAACTTGGGCTGCTGGGAAATTGGCGCCCCCGTCAT